CCCCCCCCCCCCCCCCCCCCCCCCCCCCTTTTTTTTTTTTTTTTTTTTTTAGACCTTGGAATAAGCTATGAATCTGCTGTGAAAAAAACTGACTAATAAGGTTGGAGTTGACCTTCCAGAAGAATCTAGAAGAATCTAGAAGAATCTTGGCAAACGCTTTGAATGAGCACCGAAGGAGCGTAGGACGAACTTCCAATGAGTTCTGAAACAACTTTCTGAATAAACCTTGACTCACCTTTCAGCAAGCCTGGGCGAGGTTGGGACATGATACTCGCCCCTTAGTGTCTGTATGGTTGGTGGGGGGGGGGGAGGGAGGGGGTGTTGGTGACCGCTTGAACTCTGTATCAATTGTACAGACTTCCAACAACCCTCCCCTTCAATTGTATTGTATTGCTCCCCATTCTTCTCCCCTTCCCCCTCCCCCTTCTCCCCTTTATCGCCCTCTTACCCTCCCCCATCTCCACATCGCTTCCTTCACCCCTCCTCCACTCCCCCTCTTCTCTGCCCCCGCGCCCCCCCCCAGCCTTCCCCCCATTTACTTCTCGTTCTCCCCGCCAGCTTTACAGTGAACAACCGTATTGTTGACTTTTGAGGCGCCTCGAAATCCCCCGGCCTTCCCTCCCCCCATGCACTTCTCGTTCCCCCTGCCAGCTTCACTGTGAACAACCGGATTGTTGACGGGTCGACCTACATTCGCACGCTCGTGCAGGTGAGATGGGCGTGGCAAGGGGGAACTGGAGCAGTGGGTAAGGGAAGGTAGGCTGGTGTCTGGGGGGCGCTGTAGTGGGTAGGGGAGCCGAACAATCCAATCATTGACGGGTCGACTTACATTCAGGTGATGGGGTGATGGGGGGAGCTGGGGGCGATGTGGGGAGCTGGGGGCGACGGGGGGAGCTGGGGGCGATGGGGGGAGCTGGGGGCGACGGGGGGAGCTGGGGGCGACGGGGGGAGCTGGGGGCGATGTGGGGAGCTGGGGGCGACGGGGGGAGCTGGGGGCGACGGGGGGAGCTGGGGGCGACGGGGGGAGCTGGGGGCGACGGGGGGAGCTGGGGGCGACGGGGGGAGCTGGGGGCGACGGGGGGAGCTGGGGGCGATGGGGGGAGCTGGGGGCGACGGGGGGAGCTGGGGGCGACGGGGGGAGCTGGGGGCACGCCCGGTAGTGCGTGCATCCATCCATTCCCATGCATGCACCCGCTCTCATGCCCCTCCATGTGCAATCCACAACCATGCATCCCATCGGTCTCGTTTTTTGGGTCGACTCAAAAGCGCTCTCATGCCACTCTACGTGCACTGCGTTCCACCGCCATGCATCCCATCGGTCTCGATGCCTCAGGAGCGGCAGGAGTTAGGGGAGCGAATCATGATCACACGGCTAGACCTCTTCACTCGGTGGAAAAAGGTGAGATGAGAGGCCCCCACCTCTGCTTCTGCTTGTGCTGTTTTGTATCTGCTTTACTTTTCTTCTTCTTTTTTTCTTCGTCTTCTTCTTCTCCGTCTTCTTCTTTCAGCGGTTATAAGAGTGCTGTGTTATTGCTAGTACCAATGTATGCCTTCATATTCAAGTGTTTAGATGTTCTTTCCAGCCTGACCTCATCTACTCCTAAAACTTCCTAGTCAACCTCCACCTAGTTTCCCTGACCCTGGCGCTGCCGAGAGAGCACCTGCTGCATTCCGAGTGTACCAACCCTCTGCTTCACGTCCCCCTTATCCCCCATAACCGAAACTCCCTTGCAGCGTTACTCCCATCCCACTCAAACGCCCGTTGCAGTGCTACTCCCGCTCAAGCATGCACGATGCAATCAAGGAGCCGAACCTAGCCCTGCTCTAAGCGCACATGCTGATTCCCCACTTGACCCCTGAAACCCCCTCCCGAATCCCCTCCCTTTCCCCGTTTCCCTGTTGCAGCGCTACTCCCACTCGAGCATGCACGATGCGATCAAGGAGCAGAACCTGGCGCTACTGAGAGAGCACCTGCTGCAGACAGTCAGGTTCCAGCCTGAAGAGGCTGACGGTTCCTCCTCCTCTGGGCCCGCTCCCCCCACCGCTGCATAAGGTGTAACAACAACAGGAGTGTACAGTACACTCGCAGAAGATGTTTTCTTAGGTTTTATTACTGAGATCTATCAGTCGAGTTGATGGATTGAAAAGATTAGGTTGGTGTTGAGGTATGGTGTGGTTGGTATGGTAGCAGGAGTGGAAGGGCACGCATGTAAGCAAGTGGGTGGATGTGTTTATTTATTCTCTCCATTGTGCATGAATCTTTGGTACGCTGGCCATGTAGATTTGGTGTTGCATTGGAATGGCACAAAACGGTAGTCAATAATTTGTTGTGGATGCTAATGTGGCATTGATGGTACCGGTAAGTATATTCTTTCATGTATCTCTTAATATTGAGGGTGGTGCATGGAGTGGGAAATTGTGCAGTGTTACGGGTGCAATGGAACGAAGTAGCTTGCACTAGAGTGTCAAAAGAGTACAGAGTATGAGCGAAGGCATGAGCGAATACTTATACGCGAAACATGCAAACGCTAACGCGGTGCGTGCGAGCTAGCTAGTGCTACGCTGGCAGCGAGGTTCGGGCTAGTCCCGAAGCGTAGGCCGACTCGGCTGGTCCAGCAGCGCGAGGTTTGGTGAAACAGTGCGCGCGAAGTTGGCGAAGCCCCGTTAGCAGTAACCGACGAACAACGGCTACTGCTGTAAACGATGTTGACGGTCGCGGTATGTCGAGAAATTTCCTTACACTACCCCCCCCCCCCCCTCAAGAAGCCCCCTTCGCTACGCGAGTGCGTGTATATCGCGGAAACCCCGGCTCCTCAGGTACACTTGCAGGGCAGGGTGGTTTTCAATGTTGGCTAGGGGCACCCAGATATCCTCAGTTGGCGTGCGGTCCTTCCAGCGAACGAGGAACTCAATCCTTTTGATGCCTGTGGGGTGTCGAATCCGATGGCTCAGGATTTTCTCGGGCTCGATGATCAGCTCCGATGCAGGGCGAGTCATGGATGGCGGGCGGTGACGAGGCAGTTGGCTCGTGGTTGGGATGTAGGGGCGAAGCAGGCTGACGTGGAACAATGGGCTGATGTACCAGTCTGTTGGCAACAGTAGATGGGCGGTAACTGGGGTGATTATGTGGCTAATTTGGAATTTTCCACGGTAGCGCGGTCGTAATTTTGGTACGACGGGCAGTCTTAAGTTATGTATGTCGAGTAGGACGTAATCCCTTGACTGGTACGTGACTGGGCGGCGGTGGCGGTCAGCATTTCTTTTTGCGATGACGTTGGCTTTTTTTATTGCTTCTGCGGCTCTGGTGCGGGCAGCTTGCAGAATCTCGGCGAATTGCTGTGCGCGTGGCGTTGGGTTGTCCGGACTCGGCGTCATGGGCACTGTTGGGTTTTGCCCATAGTTTAGATAGAATGGGGGCTGCTGTGGCACTGTTGTAGGCGAATTCGATCAGCGGCAACTGCTGTTCCCATGTTGTCGGGTCGTCGCACGTGGCACGAATCAACTGCTCCATCGTCTGATTCGTCCGCTCCGTTTGACCGTCGGTCTCGGGGTGATACGACGAGCTGAATTGTAGCCTGGTCCCGAACTGCTCCCAGAGGTTCTTCCAGAAGTTGTTGGTAAACTTCGTGTCGCGGTCGCTGATGATTGCGGCTGGTATCCCGTGCAGTCGGACGACAGTTGCGATGAACAGGCGAGCGGTTTCTTCGACTGAGATCGATTTCCTGCACGCAGCGAAGTGGGCCATTTTCGTCAGTCTGTCAACGACAACTATAACCGTGTCGTTACCCCCAGGGTTCGAAGGTAACCCTGTGAAGAAATCCATGGTAACCTGCTGCCAAGCGCGCTCAGGCGGTGGAATCGGCTGCAACTGACTCACCTTTCTTTTTCGCAAGCTCTTCATCACCTGACACGTAGGACACGAGCCCACGTGGTGCTGTACGTCGGTCAACAGCTCCGGCCAGTAGTAATACCGCTGCATTTGTCTCGTTTTTTCTACCCAAAAGTGACCCGAGGTAACCACGTCGTGTGCCTCCTGCAATAACAGTTCCCTCAGTAGTGAGTACGCGGGTACCTAAATGCGGTCGGTGCCTGTTTTTACGTAATAGACTCCCTTGGCTTCTGCCAGTTGCTGTGAATTTCCGGTCGTGAAAAATGGGTCGGTACTGTATCCGTGGGTGAATAGGCCTGTTAATAGTGGGTTGGTTTGGGCGAGTAGGATGGCGTGGAGTTGGGCGGTAGGGCGGGTGAATGCGTCGGCGATATTTGATGCGCCTTTTTTGTACGTGACGGTGTAGTGGAAGTTGGACTTCAGATAGTCCAACCAACAAATATATCGCGGATTGAGATTCGGTTGGGCGCGGAGGTACTGTACTGAGCGGTGATCTATCCGTACTGTCACGTTTGCTCCGGTGAGGTAGCATCGCCACACTTTGAATGCGTGCACGATCGCCAGCATTTCGCGGTCGTGTATCGGGTAGTTGCGTTCGGGCGTGTGGAGTTTGCGAGACTCGTACGCGATTGGCTGAAGGCCGTTCCCGAATTCCTGCAACAGTACTGCTCCCACGGCGATATCACTTGCGTCGGTGTCGAGCTCAAACGGACGGTGCGGATCTGCGATATGCAGCACGGGCGGTGAGCACAAAATTTTCTCGAGGGCCGAGAAGGCAGCTTGCTCTTGCTCCCCCCACGTGTACTCAACCCCCTTCCTCAGCAGGTCGGTCAGCGGAGCAATCAACTTCGCCATGTCGGGGACGAACCGGCGCACGTAGTTGACGAACCCCAAAAAGCCCTACAGCTCCGTCAAATTTGTCGGCGCGTGCCATGCTTGAATCGTCGCGATCTTCTTCGGGTCTATTTCCACTCCGTCAGCTGAAATAATGTGCCCTAAAAGCTCCAGTCTGTCCTGTAGAAACTCACACTTAGAAGCCTTGGTCAGTAGTCTGTTCTCACTCAGTATTTTAAAAATTGCTTCGATGTCCTGTAGGTGCTGTGCGCGACCTGGGCTGTAAATCAGGATGTCATATAGGTAAACGATGACGAACTCATCTAAGAGCGGGCGGAAGGCTTCGTTCATGGTCATTTGAAAAGTGGCGGGGGCGTTGGTCAGTTCGAATGGCATGACGGTGTATTCAAAGGATCCATAGCGTGTTCGCAAAGCTGTTTTCGGGCAGTCGGGTGGGTTGACGCGGATCTGGTGGTAACCTCCTCGAAGGTCAATTTTCGAGAAAACCCAGGTTGTGCGCAGTTGGTCGATCAGTTCGTCAGCTCGTGGTATGGGGTAACGGGTGTCAGAGGTCCACTGGTGATCCCCGATCGATCCTATGGAAGGGTTACAAGCTCGTTGTCCTGGGGGGTTATGGGCACACTGACCCGCTACTTAACAAGCCCTTTTATCCCAATGGTCTAATGGTTGGGATTCTGACATGGTATCAGAGCGAAGGTCTCGGGTTCGAATCCTAGTGTATGCACTTCGGGCATTCCAGTGCGAGGGGTGTTAGAGGTCCACTGGAGAAACCCTAAGTCCTAGGGAAGGGTTACAGGCTCGTTGTCCTGGAGGGTTATGGGCGCACTGACCCGCTACTTGACAAACCCTTTTATCCCAATGGTCTAGTGGTTGGGGATTCTGACAACGTGATTTGATGGTAACTTGGTTCAGTGCGCGGTAGTCGATGCACATGCGAAATCCCCTGTCTTTTTTCGGTGTGAACAGTATCGGTGTTGCAAAGGGTGACGAACTCGGGCGAATGAACTCCTTTTCGATCAGGTAATCCAGCTGTTTCCGTAGCTTGTCCAGTTCGGGTTGGGTCAATCGGAACTGTCACTGTAGTGTCGGATGTGCCCCCGGTTCTGACTCTATCCGATGGTCGTGCGGTCGCTGAGGTGGAAGTCCTGTCGGCAGGTCATCCGGGAAAATCCCTCTGTACTGGTTAAGTAGCGCTGCCAAGTCATCCGGTACGTCGGCTAGCAGTTTCTGTAGGTCACTCCCCTTGTCTGGTGCCTCGGCTTCCCAAATGTCAACCGCATACACGTCTGCTCCTGCCGCTACGGCGCGTTTCATCGTGATCACGGTTCAATCCACGCGTTCTCGTATCGCCAGTGGCGTGCCGTCAACCAGTCTTGCATCGATCTCAGGTAAACATCTGTCCAGTGGCAGTTTCAGTTTTCGTGCCGTGGCAGTGTTGATGAGGCAGTGGCTGGCCCCCCCGTCTACGAAGATTTTAATAAATCCATCCCGATCTTCCCACTAAGCAGTATGGGGCTATCTACCGCGGTACCCTCCTTATTCGGCCAGGTGTGGTCGATTGCGTGAACCGGCACAATCACTCGGTGAGGGTCGTGTCAAAATGTTATATAGCTTATATTGTGTAGGCTATAGTGGGGTAGCCCATAAGGGGTACAACCCAATTAGGGTTAGTACTTGTACCCAACTCTTTCATAGTTCATCCATTCTCGTTCATTCTCTTGACATGGTTTCAGAGCAGGTCCTCCGCTAGGACCGTTTTTTTTTCCTTGGGCCCACCACTGCACTGCTCCTAGCAACCCTCGTGTCGCCCCTTGGCCCGTCGCCCCTAGGCCCGTCGCTCCTAGCCCGGCCCGTAGGCCCTAGCCAGAGCGCCCCTAGGCCTGTCGTCGCCCCCTTGCCCCTAGCCCGCGCGCCCCGGCCCGTCGACCCCTAGCCCGCGCGCCCGGTCCGTCGACCACCCGACCCCGTCGACCCCTAGCCCGCGCGCCCGGCCCCGTCGACCCCTAGCCCGCGCGCCCGGCCCCGTCGACCCCTAGCCCGCGCGCGCGGCCCCGTCGACCCCTAGCCCGCGCGCCCCGGCCCGTCGACCCCTAGCCCGCGCGCCCCGGCCCGTCGACCCCTAGCCCGCGCGCCCCGGCCCGTCGACCCCTAGCCCGCGCCCCCGGCCCCGTCGACCCCTAGCCCGCGCCCCCGGCCCCGTCGACCCCTAGCCCGCGCGCCCCGGCCCCGTCGACCCCTAGCTCGCGCGCCCCGGCCCCGTCGACCCCTAGCCCGCGCGCCCGGCCCGTCGACCCCTAGCCCGCGCGCC